ACACTTGGGCAACCTGCTTGGCTATGGCTAGTTGGCGGCTTTTCACCCAATGTGACTAAAGCATTGCTGTTGTTGTTGTTGTTGTTACTGCTGCTGCTGCTGCTGCTGTTTCGCCAATTAGTTAGTCGCTGTGGCTGCGTTGCGTGCAATATTGGCAGTGGCTAAAGAAAGAGGGTAGGAGGTAAAGCATGCAGACAAGCAAACAAACCAAACTTGGCTCCCAGCCAACAATTGCGCAGGCAAACAGCAGTTAACGCGTTTTATTGTCTTGCCACAACGAAGTGTGCGCAAGTGTGTGTGTGTTAGCCGTAGCTACGGGGCAACATCATCATGGCGTAGATCATTCGTTTAGATGGAGATGGTGCTATTATTTGCACGTTTTGTGTGAAATGCACTTGGCCAAGGGTTAGAATACTGGGATTGGTTGCCGACTCCTTCCTGGACTCCATGATCGATAAACATGAATAGATAAGTTTATTAGCTTAGTGAGAATATGCCAGCCATCAAACGTTAAGTTTAAGCCTGTAACTGTTTAAGTTTCCATTTCAAATAATCTACACAAAAAAATTACTTTTCCGGCACTCAAAATGCAGCCAAAAACTAGTGCAATTTGGTAATACACTACAAATATAAATATCACTTTCCACATATTTCGCAACATCATCTGGCTCAATTCAAGCTTTAACTCCCCCCCCCCACACCCTTCTCCAGCTCACTACGCAACCCCCTCCACTCTTGCCCATGATGATGTCAACGATGATTTTTGGCCATAATAAAGCAGAAAAAGTCAAACGACAACGCAAAATGGTAAACAGATCGAGCTTTATGAATATGCAAAGATAAACAACAACAATGGACTACTCGATGAGGTGCCCCCTCCCCCACCGTAAAGCCCCACTCCTTCCTACTTTTTATTTTGTCTAGTTGCAAAGCCCCCCTCCACTAAATGCTCGGTTGCAGTTTGTCATTTGGTTTTTTGAATTTCAAATTTTTTTAACGAGCCAAAATGAAAACTTTCCAAACAAAAGGCTGCCCATTCAAACACCCCCAAAAAACAAAACAAAAAATAAGAAAAACAAAAACAAGTAAAAGTGCTCTTGTCGAGAGAGCCTAACTGGCAGATATCCTATGTACAGCTTCGCATTGCGATAATAAAGGCATATATGTACACACATTCGGAGCCCAAAACTGTGGCAAATAGTTTCAGTTCAATCGTTAAAAATACACTGAGACAAGCAAAGAATCTACATATATACCTTATGGGACCGGAGATGGCTCGTTCTGGCTGCTTGCACACCTTCAATACACCCTTTTTGTCAATTTACAACTCGTGCAGAGTATGCGAGCAAAATAAAATCGATCCAGAGCAGATCCAGCCCAAATGAGGGAGTCACATCAAGCCAGGGAACTTGCAAAAGAGCGACAAAAACAAAAATACAAAAATACGAAATAAAAAAAAAAAGCATTCCAGCCGAATGAAATTTAGCGTAAAAATTGAGATCTTTTGTCTGCGATAAACGTGAGCATTTTGTTTGTCACGACGAAGTGTGCTTTTTTGCGCGATCGCTTCGAAGTTCCAAGCTGGATTTGGAGCTGAACTTGTAGTTGGAGTTGCCCCATTGCCATAGTCCCACTCGGTGCTCAATGTGGGGTGGTGTGGCTGGAGTACTGCTTGATAGGGAAATGAGTGGCTGAAGGATACTAAAGAGAAATACAAGCCTTTCAAGAGCTCCTCTACAAATATGAACAGTAAAATTATTTACTAAATAGATTTAAAAATTTCTTTATTTTTTTCAAACTCATATATAATAAAAAATATTACAATTCACACAATTTTTCCACATCACTTCATGGGAATACATTTGTCTCTTATAGGAATCGCATATTATTCACTTTCCCAATAAATAAAAATACTATTAATTTAAAATAGCCAAATATTCAAAACTTAAGTTTAAGGCTTGGTTTAATATAACCGCAATCTTGGTTAACCAAATCCATGGCCAATGCTCCAAAAACAATTGCCGATCAAGCGCGAAAATTGGCACATCCAAAACCCGAAATAAAAAAAAAAAAAAAAAGTAAGTCCCAACTTCGCTGAAAGATGTTTTTTTCTTTGACAAAAAGGGTAGCAGGAATGGAGGGAATATGGGGCAACAGTAGATGCTGCCACCTTTTGATACCCTCTGTTTTGGTTGGCCATGTTTTCGAATCTACCTATTTGATGCTTTTTTTGGTTTTATTCATTTTTTTTTTAAGTCGTTGCTGCTCTCGGTTTGGCTCGCTTTGTTATCGCCTGAGCGCTGGCACAAAAGACCCTAAATGCGCGTCTATTTTGTTACAATTTAAGACGCTTATTAGAAATCGTTTGCAAATTGTTTGTGCAAGAAAGCAGCACGATCAACCACGTTGCCGCCAAACCCCCCTTCCTTTCCCCACCCACCCAACAGGTAACCTGAGCGCACAAGGAGAGCTGGCAACGAGGCAATATGTAGGTAAGCGAGGGCAGGCAAGTTTTGTACAGTGTCGAAGTCAGGCCACGAAATGCGTGCATATTAATTTCATATATTTACGTCGAGTTTGGCACAACGATCGCTTCGCTGGCATCTGCACACGTGAGCACCCGACTCGAAGACTCGGAGACTTGACTATCCAGACTGGTTGCTGCTGTTGCCGCTGTGGCTGATGCTGCTGATGATCTAATTTGGCAACAATTGTCGTAGTCGTGGTAGTTTTGGCTGCAGCGAACGGGCCGCAGGGCTGAGGAGCCTTCGACGGAAGGGGGACCCAGTTGAAGGCGCAGATCCACACACATGTGGCCGGGCCTAACCTGGTCTCCGCCTGGGCGATCGATTGATCTCGATAATGAGTTTGCTTAGCAGTTGCGAACGCACCCATATTTTATGCCCTACACAGGTTGGGTATTTCGGCTTAAGCCTCTTAAACGGCATTGGACTTCTCATAATAATTAACCTTTTCAATAAATAAAATATGTTAAGTGTATGAGTATATTTTATAATCTATATGCGTTCATATAAAATATAGTATTTAACGTATATATTTTTTTGATTGAATATTTGAGTTCAAGCTGCAAATGCCCGCAATTATTATCCTTTTATATAAAATTAATATTTCAAGAAAAACTAAATAAATATATTTGAGTATATTTTATGTTGAAAATATGTAAAAGATCAATACAACTTTCGATTACTAATGTTATTAACAGAAGATATCGATACTGCGCTCGATACCTTTACTTAAGAATACATTGAATAAATTCTTCTTAGTGTAACCGCCAAACCTAGTGCATCACTTTTTGCGGCTTTAAAACCCCAACATTTTATAATCGATATTCTTTCATACCTCCCTTTGAATTCATAGTTATAGCTCGTTTGTAGAGTATGAATAGATTCGGCCAGTCTAATTCCACAACTATTCCCAAACCCATTTGAAAAAGTGTCGCCCGTGGAGCGTCGCCATTTGATTTCTCTTTTCGCATCAGTGGATCGGGATCGACGTGGATCGTTTGAGATCGCCTATGAACAAAATAAATATCTGCGTATTTGTGTTGATCTTTTTCATTAAAATAGGTTTATGTTTAATAAGACGTTGATGTGGCTCTTTGGCAGCCGAGCGGATCTATTGAACCGTGTGTGCTGTGTTGTGTTGGATTTGATTTAGTGACTGCCATTTTGTGAGTATACCTGCACACTCCCTACCCTCCCTTCCCCTCTCTCTCTCTCTTTGGGGCCAATCACACTCACATTGTACGCTTGAGTACGTGCACTGAAATTTAAATATAATTTATGAGCAGCGTTGCATATAAAAAGTTTAATGTTTGGGCTCCGGTCTCTGGCAATAAAATGTCGCGATTGGCTGATTGACTTTGTGCGATTCGAGCGATCGATCGTTGCTTTTGTATATATATGTATATATTCAAATATATATGTATATAAATATAAAAACTCTGCAACTTACAAAAGACGAGCGTGACCTAAAATATAAAAGTAGCTGTAAAGCGATTGACAGGCCATGGAGGAAGCTACTCACGATTATTTCAAATTCAATTCATTGAAATTTTGCGAATCTAATCAGCTTCAATTCCACCAGACAATTTTGTGTTGTTCAAATTATTGCATCGTCCACTTAATGTCCTAATTTTTGCAGGAACAATATCTTAGAATTGTCCTACAGATCAGTTTTCAAGCTGAAAACACTTTGCTAATTAGATTTCTAAAGAAAAAACCGATAACCCATCAAAATATGCTCAAGTGATTTTTTTGTGTGTAAATAAATGTATTTTTTGTTGTTCATTGTTTTGTATTTTTCGCGGTTTTTTCTCTCAAAACCATGTAATAAATTACTTAGAATTATAAAACATTTTCGTATCAAAATATTTGTTCCGCTTCAACTTGGTTTAAATCTAAAGTTTTGTATGTATAGAACATTTTCAATGTATGCGCAAAAAGTTTCTTCATGGATATCAAAAATATATATATAGTATATAGTATAAAATATATGCGTATGATCGTATGTGTATAAGTACAAACTAAAGCTAGGCTTAAATACTATGCGAAAAGAGATACAAATATATACTATTCCTCTGTCATATGTACATAATTACAGTTTACAGTTCATAGTTTATAGTTTACAGTTCATAGTTGCTAGTTTTACAGTTAAACAGGTTGCGGCTTTCTCGATTGCTCTTAGAGTCTTTACAGTTAGATGCCGGGGCATAATACATTTATGTACAGGACACTTGCAAATACTTTACAATAGTTCGGCTTAGGATTGAGACACACAAAATGGATTCGTAGGATATATGTAAGTATGTAAATAAAGAAATTCATTTCAAAAAATTATACTCAAAACTCAAATATTTGTTGTCGGTTTTTTTCTTTTTTACTTTTCCCTTGCAAAGAAAATGTTGACTAGAAAATAAAAAATAAAATTAAAAAACTATAAATTAAAAATTACAAATTTTCACTGGTTTTTTGTTGTTGTTGTGTGTGTGTGTGTGTGTCTTGGATTGTGTTGGAGCTGCCGCTTACTCTCGAGCTAGGAACTAATTTTTGGTGGAACATGGCTTGTGTACAACGTCAGAGTTACGCGACGAGATGGGGAGCCTATGGCTCTGCGTAGCCTCCATAGGATAGCTCAGAGTGGGAGCCAACGGCGCTCGAGCTCGAGCTGGAGCTAGAACTGGAGCCACTGCCTCCCGGACAGCCGCCCTCGTTGTGCTTCGTCAGAAGCGACATGCGCGAGAATGTCTTCGAGCAGTTGCCACACGAATATTTCTTAATGTCCGAGTGGGTCTGCAGATGCGCGCGGAGATTGGAACGATCCGCAAAGGCGCGATGGCAATGCTGGCAACTGAACGGCTTCTCACCGGTGTGGGTTCGAATGTGACCCTGCAGCAACCAGGGACGGGAGAACGCCTTGCCGCACATGTTGCACTTGCAGGGCAGTGTGTGGGTGCGTATGTGCATCTTGAGTGCACCCAGCGACACGTAGGTCTTGTCGCAATCTTTGCAGCTGAACGACTTCTTCACCTGGTTGCCCTCGGCAGCGGGACAATGGAACTGTTGATGTTTGGTGAGGCCCGAAAACGTGGAGTAGGATTTCTGGCAGTCGGGACACTGATAACGTGGCGGCGCTGATTTGTCCTTCTTGCTGGGAGATGAGCTGACGGACATGGAGGACGCGGCGGCGGAGGAGGAAATTGCTGCTCCACGCGATGATGAAACGGAACCATTGCTATCCTGTGCGGCAGGCTGCTGTTGTTGCTGCTGTTGCAGAGTTGCTGCCGCCTGTTTGTGCTTCAGGGAGAGATCCTCGGGCACGGAACAGCAGCTTGACTCGGGCGTCAAACTGCGCATCGAGTAATAGGAGCTCTCCGAGTAGGCCGGCGAAATCGGCGCATGCAGCGGCTGATGATGATGATGATGAGCATAGTACGCAGCCGGGTATGTCGGATAGGGCAGGAATGTCTGCGGCGGCTGCTGCTGCTGTTGGTGTAGTTGTTGCTGCTGAAGATGACGAACGCCCAGCTGTGGTCGGTGGATCATCTCGGAACGCATGGGCGGCGACACCGAACTGGCACGTCCGTGCAAATAATGATGTGGTGGCGGCGACAACGAACCCAAGGAGTCCGATGGCGAGCTTGGCGAGAGCAGCTCGGCGGGTAGTGGCGCCACAGTTGCGGCTGCAGCGGCTGCTGACAAATGCGGCTGATTGATGGTACGATAGAATTCGGCGGTGTATGGCGACATGTGAAAGTTCCATGGCTGTAAACCATATTTGGGATAGGTGGGTGTCGGCACCACCACCGAGGCGGCGACTGCAGCAGCCGAGGCAGCTGCGGCCACAGCGGCAGCAGCAGCTAAAGCAGCGGCTTGCGTTTGCTTGGGATCGGCCTCAATATTCACACAATCGACATCATCCTCATCCTCGTTGACATCCATGTGCTCCGTCTCATCGTCTGTGTGATCCACATCGACGCCTTCGTCCTCGCAGCAATCGCTCACATTGATCAGCTCCTCCTCAGAAATATTGCTGTTGCTCGAAGCAACTGTTGCCTCAATTCTAGTTGTTGCTGTCGTTGTTAGTTCTGTTTTTATTGGTGTTGTTGTCGCCTCATTGTTGCTGTTGATCTTTTTGAGGCACAAGTCTTCGGGCTCCGCTTCGAACTGATAGTTGATGGGACGCTTCTTTAAAGGACACTTGCTGTAGTTCTTTTCCACTAGCATATGCTCCACGGTATGCATTTTGTAACTGTTATTGTTTTATTACTCTCTTGTTATTTATATATAATATATATATATATATGTGTATATTATTGTCACACGCTAATTCTGAATTGCTGTCTTCACATAAACATCGCGTTGCGCACAAAACTTAACGAACTCAACTTGGGTTTTGCGCCGTCAATTTGATTTTCTGAGTGTGTTGCTGTTGCAATGAACGAAAGAGAAGAACTGAAACTAGCCGACGCTGTTAGTGGCTTTTTATAGGCGACGACGCAGCTCAGCGCTGCGCGCAGCCAGAGAGCCGGAGAGCGCGCAGACAGGCACAGAGTGAAAAAGAGGGAGAGCAATTATACCTGGTGCTCTTTTTGAATGCGTGTGCATTTACCTGACTGTCAGGCTGTGTGTGTGTTGGCCGATAACGTGCTCCGCGGCCAATCGCAGCGGTCCGCGCCAAAACCGGTTCTCACACGCTTTATGTATGTTTTATGTACTGCGGAGCGCGTACACTTGCACCAATCACTAACGCCGCCGCGACAACAACAGAGTGCAGCTAAATGCCGTTATGTTTGCAATAGTGTGTGCGTGTGCAGGCCCCAAGCTGCAGCTGAGCGTTGGCGCAGGTAAAAGAGCGAGCTTCCACAAACGCATTCAGATTAGCGACGAACCAGAAGTGAGTAGCAGCTCTTTATCAACGGAGTCCCACAATAAGTCTTGCTGCAGAAAAAAAGAGAGAGAGAGAGAAATAGTGAGCGTCAAATCTTAATCGAGAGCAGCAAACAGTGCTTAAAACCAATACATGCTTATTTTTTCAGAGGGGGGTTGGATTGAAAAAGGCTCTTGCGCAGTGCTTTTTTTAAATACGATTTAAAATGCGGAGCACTAAGCCCATTTATTTAATACGCATTGGCAAACTCTTATGCACGCAGCTGCTTGTCGAGAAATTAGTGATTAAAGACAGAGTTGCATTCAGTCTCCATCAAACATTTCCAAACACTGCTTGCAGTTAATCATCGAATTTACTCGAAAAAAAATCAAATGAGGTTCCAAATTATTTAGAACTTTGCCTGATGCTTACTCATTAAGACAACTGTTGCAAAAAATAGCCCGAATGGTGGACTACCTTCATCATCAGGTGCATAAGGAGTTGACCTGATGCGTAAATAGAGGTGCCAGGTAATTGTAATATGAGCACGTGTGGAACATTGATTTTTAGAACTATTTTGGGATCAGGTAGTCAAAGGAGTAGCGGGAGAGAACTTGCAGTAAAAAATGTGTTATACATAAATGAATCTATTATTAAAATAAGTAAAATAAAATACAAATTTGAATATGTGTATAACGGACTTATAACAAACGTTTTAATTACATATAAATAACACCGATTCAAAGAGCAAACAAAGAGTTATGTTTTCGGTCTCTTAAAAAATACACATGAGCGCCGCGCTCTTTACATGCTGCTTTGCGTGTTTCATTTCCAATGTGTTTCTGGTGCGCTCTCTCTTGAAGCACTTACTCCGCTCTTACGCCGTGTTACCACAAAAACACTGCGACGCATGCCCAGCCAATTACCACATGTTGATTGACTCCGATGCAGAAGGGATAATCCATAATTCTAAATTTAGATACACACACTAAATCCTTGGCCTGGCCACACGCGTGCGCATGTCGAGCAATTAAAAAAACATGTCGAGACCTCAAGTGGCACCCGCTTTAGGGGCAGCCACAGCAGCTGTCAAAACAGCAAGCAAGCAAACAAACAAACAACAAACACTTTTAGTGTTGTTTGTCAGATAAAAAGGTGTTGGTTAGCGATTGGCGCCCAGCGATTGGCCATAAATCAAGCAGCAACATAACCTAAAAACCAAACCTGTGCCAATTGCGACGTCTTCTTGGAATCCTGCAGCAGCCCACACAAGCGCACATTTAACGTAATTAGTGCGCTTATCAAATCGTTGTCCCTGTTGCCCACTGCTGTGCAGATTTCTGATTCCCCGAAACCAGGCAGAAGCTGCCACAGCCAATCCCAACTCGTGGTCTCAGTCGCAATCTTGCCGGCCCAAATCCCAAATAAAAAACCACCAGCATAAATTAATAGATAAACATGTGCAACGTCGACCAGGGCTCGACTAACTGACCACGTACTGTGGCAGTGGTGCCACAAAAAAAAAAAACAACGGCTTTAAACTTAGCTAATCAGGCTAAGCAACTATGATTTATTGTCAAGCGAAGAAAATAACAATAAAAGGCTAAATATAACATTGAGTTAGTTGCTGGCAAAAAGTTAATGAAAAATATATTTTTTAAACTAGCACTATCAAAAGTCCAATAAATCGTTATTAATTTGTCATAGTAGTCAGTATTGCAAATGAAATGATATATGCATTTTGGGGACAGCTAAATCAAAATGAACATGAATTAGAACAAATTTGAAAATGCTGAGATAGCTATAAAAAGGCTAAAAGCTCAGCACTGTTATGCGATTTACATGTTTCGAGCCATGAGTAGTCTCAGGTATGCTCTGCTCTGGGTGCGCTCTTTCTTATCTTATCTCATGTCGTTGACTGGACTCGAACCTGGACGACCATCTCTCTCTCCCTCTCTTCCTCTCTCCATCTCTCTCTTTCTGTCGCTCGATAGACTGTTAGGAAAGATTTAATGATCTTGTTAACTAATTTTTTCTGTACGTTCTCTGCCTGAGGGTTACTCTCGTTCTCGAGCGGAGACCACCCACAGGTGTCGAGTGCCTACTAGCCGCTGTGCAAGTTAATTAGTTTGCGTTTGCCAAGGCATTAAATAAATCATTCAGTAAACAAGTTTACTCAAGCTGACGACATTTCCTAGCCCTAATTAATCGTATGTTACGATCGCCTTGGGCTACTTACGGACAAAGTAGCTACTTCGCTTTAATTTCGCTATAACTCTCGGGTGGCATTGCAAGTTGTGAATCATTTTGGCTGTCATGCGTGTGGCTCAATATCCTGGAAGCTTCAATAAAAAACAAAGATGAACGGTTAAAAAACTTTCATTTGCATTTACAGAAAATGAACGCCGCGGGTGCACATGCTCCAGTCCCAGTCCCAGATGCAGTCCCTTTTTTCAGAGAGAGATCTCCATAACCCACACGCACTTTCATCGAGTGCGGATTGCACGCAAATCCGTGTCAGCATCTTTTGGTAGTCAATAAAAATGCTCGATTGTGATTTTCACTGTGCAATTATTGCCACAGCTTTCAAATGCGGTAGAGCTAAAATCTCTCTCGCTATCCCTCTCGCTCCTGCTCAGTTTGCCTGTTCGCTCACTCGCAACAAAAGTAATTTTCAATTTTTACAGCCCGAGTCTGAGCATAAAATATAAAGCACAATGCTGTAGAGAGTTGTCTGTTGCAAGACACACACTTGTTAATGCCACACGTTGCCGTTTTGCTCATCCTCATTCTCATCCTCATCCGTCTGGGCCAACAAGTGACGGTGGCTTTTTTGCCTGCGTGTCCTTAAAACGCTTAAATGCAAAAGAAACACGAGTTTTTCATGTATTTCGGAGCAGACAACAAATCTCATTAAAAGGCGTCGCGTCTTCGCTTGTCGCCATCGTCTTCAGTTTCGCAAGGAAGCCTCGACTTGGAACTTGAAACTTGGGACTCCAGCTCCAATCGTCCAACTTATGTTTGACCCCTTTCGCTCTCGGACTCAGATGCGGTCGCAAAACGCGTCGTATTTAAAATGTCGTTAATAATTTGTTGCTCTGCCGCAGACGGAGACGCCGACGCAGACGTGGCAAACAGCAAGCAGCAAGTCCCAGTCCCTGGCCGCATTTTCTTTCTTCTTTTTTTAAAGCTTGTCGTAAAAGAGTTTTATTATTTCTGTTTCAGTGTCTCAAAATAGGATTAGTACCTTTTGGGCAGGCCACGTTATTGCCTTAGATTGTTGTAGCAACAAAAACAAAAAAAACCCAAAGCTAAACAGAAAAATTGCTTAAATATCATCATTTTACACGCTTTCATATATGGTGTTATGTATATTATACAAAATCCTCTTAAATCAACAAAGTTCTCACAGTTAAAAAAGGCTTTCACCTCAATTAGTGCCGCTATTGTGTTCCTTTAATGCAACAACAAATTAATTTCATCTTAATGAAAGAGTTAAGTTATCGATAAATATGGCAAACGGATCGATATACATCGAGGACATTTTCCAACACTTAAACTTGCCTGGAAAGTATAATTATATGCAATCAACAATGTTTACTATGCAAATTGCTGCTTAAATAAATAGTGTCGTGGAATTGTAATGCAACATACAAAAGAAGCAACGCCCGCAGATGCAAATTGCCTGTGGGCAGCAACTGAAGAATAAACAGTTCTTAAATTGGAGCGCGCTCAAAGATTCTCCCACAGCCCACTGCACTAGTTTCCAATGCCAAAATTCCTATTGATGCTGAGCTGACAATAATGTTGTCTGCGCTTCGTTATTTGTATGTATTTGTGTTGCTGCTGCTCCTTGGCCATAGCCGTAGCCAGTGCATTGTCATTGTCATTGTCACCATAACAATTTTGTTGCCTTTTTCTGCTTTGGCCAGAAGAGACTCCCGCTGCGTTGTGTATTGTTTGGTCTGGCATTGGCTGCACTTGGACCGCGCACGCTGAGCAGATTTCCCAGAATTGACACCTTGCCTGCCGGGCTGCACTGAATGCCTGCCAGCCAGCCTGCCTGCCTGCCTGTGAATCGTTCTGCTCGGTTTGCTCTTGAAGATTTGCTACAGTTTTGTGCAGCGCGCCAAGTTGTCTGCAACTGCAAGCCGGTGTAATCAGTACGGGGACGGGTGAGTGGAATCTGTGGCACATTCATCACTCCTTGCCTGCCATTGAAACAATTGTTGCACGTATGTTTTTTCGCAGGCCAGGTGTTTGCTATGGAATTTCAATTTGCATAAATTTGGTGCAGATTTGCGTACAATGGGAGAGACGGCGACCGGCAGGCCGTGTACGTGTATGAGGATAAGAAGATGCCTGGCTACACCCACATTGTGCATAATGATCGATGCACAACTGCATTTAACTGTGCGTGTTCCCGATACGTCTCCGCTTCTAATGAAGATGTTGCCTGATCGCATGTGTCAATTTGTCAGTGATAGGTATGTAGTTGTATATATGTAATCCACTTTTGATAAATACTATATACAACTTACTTCCTCTTCAAATCCTAGCAACGGAGACTGGCATGTAGTCGGGGAGTTAGTTTGTTGGCCAGCTGCGAGCGCCAGATGTTCT